TGTAATAAACCCTGTAATTCCCATGTAGGAAAATTAATGTATTTTATAGGACAAAATTGCAGAGAGGGAAGATTCATAAATGGGACGAAGGAAGAGAAAGGACAGAGAGGAATGAGTAATGTACCCTTATCAAGTCCATGGGTGAACAGGGAAGGAGTGACAGCACCTATAACCTCTCAGCTAGAAGAAGGGTTGTAATACAATAGCAGCATAGCAGAAGAGAAGGATTGAATCCAGGAAATGAAAAGGGGGATCTCATACAAAAGGGTAAGGGGAGCTTTCACCGAAGAGTATTCCCACAGGGAAAGATACATATGCCTTGCAGTGAGAGATGGTAACCTCATGATGAGTTTAATCTGGATGGAATTGGTCCAGCAGGAAATGACCTTCTTTTTGAGGGTGCCTCCATGAACAATTTCTTAGCCCAGAAAAAAGAATATGGGAGCTCCAAGGGGCAGCTGACACCAGGAGCTTTGAGGGTCAGGGTGGACACAGAGGTGAGCTAGCATAGTCAATGGAAAGAGGAGCAAAAGGGTAGATTTGGGATTGCACAATTTAGGACATGGTAATTTCTACCAAGAGGAACTGCTTCTATTCATATTATTTCCCTAACAAATTGAGCAATAAAAAGTGGGGAGTGGGAACAGCGTGAGCAAGATCAATTAGAGGCAGTTACATAGCAATTGGGAGGAAGCTCTAACTAGATACTTCAGAAGCTTTAGCTACATGATGAACCCAAAGAGATTTAAAAAAGAATAAAAAGGGATATAGACCACAAATATAGAAAATAACATTTTAGAATAAATAGGAAAAGAAGATAACTAATAAATACAACAAAGAAAAAAAATCTTCTTTGAGAAAGGGCATAGAAAACTAGCAAATATAAGAATTTTGAAGGAGAAGAGGAGAGGTAATTTAAATTTTTATCATTTCATTCTTTTTCAATTAATAAGCATTTATTCTCTCTCCCTTCCCTACCCTGTACTCTTATCCTCTCCAATACTCCAATTACAAGGAAGGAAGGAAGGAAGGAAGGAAGGAATGAAGGAAGGAAGGAAGGAAGAAAGAAAGAAAGAAAGAAAGAAAGGAAGGAAAGAAAGAAAGAGAGAGAGAAAGAAAGAGAGAAAGAGACAAAGAGAAAGAAAGAAAGAAAGAAGGAAAGAAAGAAAGAAAGAAGGAAAGAAAAAAAGAAAGAAGGAAAGAAAGAAAGAAAGACAAATATGCTTAGTCAAACAGAACAAATCCACACATTGGCCACACCCAAAAATATATGTCCCATTCTGCACCCTGAGTCTGTTATCTGCTGTCAGAAGGTGGGTAGCATGCTTCATTACCAGTCTGCTGGAAATGTAGTTAGTGATTGCATGTATCAGAGCTCTTAAATCTTTCAAAGTTGTTTCTTTTTACTATATTTTTGTTATTGTATTAATAGTCTATCTTATTCTGTTCATTTTGTGTCTTCCCAAGTGTCTCTGAAACCATCCCTTTCATCATTTCTTATGGAGCAACAAAATTCCACTTCTATATAACATAATTTGTTCAGTTATTCCCCATTTTATGGATACCCCCTTAGTAAGTCTTTGCACATACAAAAAGAAGTTCTATGAATACTCTTGAACATATAGGTCTTTTTCCTCTTTTTGATCCCTTTGGTGTATAGGCTTAAGAGTGTTATTGCTGGGTCAAAGGGCATATACATTTTAGTGACTTAGTCGTAAATTACTTTCCAGTATGACTAGACCAATTCACCGCTCCATCAACAATGCATTAATGTCCCCTTTCAACATTTGTCATTTTCCTTTTTTGTCAACTTTGCCGATCTGATGAAGGTGAGGTAGAAACTCAGAGTTGCTTTAACTTGTATTTCTCTAATTACGTTATTAGTGATTGGAACATTTATTTTTCAGATGACAGTTGATAGCTTGAATTTCTTCCCTTGAAAACTGCCTGTTCACATTAGTGGAGTATTGTTCAGTACAGAAAGCTAAGGAGGAAACACGCCACACTCACCTCTTGCCGGAGAAGTGATGAACTTAAAATTCAGAGAGAAACATGCATTTCCAGGCATGACCAAATTTGTTTTGCTGTACTGTGCAGGTTTTGATGAGGAAATTTGGTTTTGTTTTTTATTTTTTGTTCAATGGGGGCCAGTGGGAGGGGCAGATTACAACTGCATTTACATTTTTTTAAAAAGAAAATTACATAAACATAGAGTAGGGAAGATTTTGAACTAAACATAACTGGGGGGGTGAAGCAAGGGGAAAAAAGAGGAAGAAATATACAATTAAAGAAAGAAAGAAAAAGGAATAATTTAAATAAAATTGTAAAATTAGGGAAAAGGTCCATAGTGGGAATAGAGGCAGGGAAGAAGAGGGTGAAAATAATTTGTGAAAATAGAGTTGTATCAGGGCAGCTGGGTGGCACAGTGGATAGAGCAACAGCCCTGAAGTCAGGAGGACCTGAGTTCAAATCCAGCCTCAGACCAAACACTTGACATTTACTACCTGTGTGACCCTGGGCAAGTCACTTAACCCCAATTGCCTAAAAAGAAGAAAAAAAAAGAAAATAGAGTTGTATCGAAGTGGTCTAAAGAGCAAAGCTAATCATGGGGACAAATTGTTGATTTAAAAGAGTAAACCCCAGGGGCAGCTAGGTGGCGCAGTGGATAGAGCACGGGCCCTGAAGTCAGGAGTGCCTGAGTTCAAATCTGGTCTCAGACCAAACACTTGACACTAGCTGTGTGACCCTGGGCAAGTCACTTAACCCCAATTGCCTTAAAAAAAAAAAAAAGAGTAAAATCCACAATCTGTTGTTCACAAGAAATACATATGGGGGAAGGGAAAGAGAGTAAGCATTTCAGCACCTACTATGTGCTAGGCACTATGCTAAGCACTTTATGAGATCATTTGATTCTTACAACAGCCCTATGAGGTAAGTGATGTTATTATCTCCAATAATAATTGGAGGAAACTGAGGCAGACAGAGATTAAGTGACTTGCCCAGGGTCACACGGCTATTAAGTGTCCAAGGTCAGGTTTAGGACTAAGGACTTCCTGCCTTCAGGCCCAGTGCTCCATCTACTGCACTAACAAGCCACCTCTGAAAAGCAGAGACACAAATAGAATCAAAATGAATCTAGAACAATATTTACTATTCAAGTGAATCCAAAAATGCTGGAGTTGCAATCATGCTAATAGGGGACACAAATGTAAAAATTCACAATATGAACAGAGATTAATTATTTTCTGTTCTACTCAATAAATCCTAGTAGAGGTGAAATGGAAAGAGTACTGGACCTGGAATTAGGAAGACCTGAAATCAAATCAGATCTGGAACATTTACTAGCTGTGTGACCCTGGACAAGTCACTTAACCTCTTCATCCTCCATTTTTTCTTCTGTAAAATAGGGATAATTATAGCACTCAACCCTCAGAGCTTTTGTGAAAATAAAAAAGATATAATATTAGGAAAAAGCTTTGCAAACCTTCAAGCACTATAAAATGTTAGCTATAAGAACTTAGGAACATAATGAATACAGGTAAATACAGAAAGATTTATATGAATGGATTCAAAGTGAAATAAACAGAGCCAGGGAAACAATATACACAAGGACTATCATAATGCAACTGGAAAGAAAAACAATGACAACACAATTTCATCTGAATATTGTGAAACTGTAATGACCAAGGTTGCCCCAGAGGAGAGGTGTGAGAAGAAACCTTTCCCCCATTTTTTTTTTTTGCAGAGATGGTACCATGCATATAATGTCATTACATATAACATCAGGTTTTTTTGTTTTTTATAAATAATATCAAATTTTTTTCCCACATGTTGGTAGGTTTTGTTGAACTATTTTCTTCTTCTTTTTTGAATCTTTATAAGGGATGGCTTACTGGGAGAAAGTAAAGGAGGGATGTAATGGGAAATGTAGGTGATATAAAAACAAAAGACATTAAAATATTTTTTTAATTGTGAGTAGCAAATAATTTGAAGTTTATGGTTTGCATGTGATCTCATTTTTAAATTTTGCTTATTTGAATATTTTTGTTGGTGGCAACTGTTTATATTACATATATATTTCTATATATTCATGTATATTATGTATCACATATTTTAACATATGACATAAATATATATATATTTAAATACCCAAGAAAGATAGATAGCATCCGACTGAGAATCAGCAGATTCCCAATGGTCTATTTCTACCATTAACAAGCTATATGATCCTGGACAAATCCCTTAATTTAGCTGGGCTACAGTTTCCTCTCCTTTAAAAGGATAGAATTGGCCTAGATGATCTTCTGAGGTTCATTACTGCTATATTATTCTATGAGTCTATACGATCTCTGTCTTGGTTTCATTATCAGTGAAATGGGGGAGATGGACTTTTTGACCTCTAATGTCACTTAGACCTCCAAAAAAATGTTTTTCTTAAAAACATGCTTACTTCCACTGATCAAAGGAGGTAATGGATGATATATTTTATTTCTTTAAACAAGACTTTTCTTATATTTCTGTTATGACCCATATGTAAGATTGACTTTGAAAAAAAATCCATATTTTTGATACCTAATGTGAAAACAACTGAATCCTATAGCTGCTAAAGTTTATCATATGATTTAGTAGATTTTAAAAGATAACATTAAAATAGTTATGTAGTCAATAGGCATCTGTTTTTCCCTGTTTCTTACAGCTCCTTTCCCTTGCAGGGGAATTGGTGGGATGGAGTTTTGGTGTTTCTTCCTCTCTTTCTATTGATTTTTTAGTTTCATTAGAAATATTTTGTTATATAAATGTTCCATTTTTGTGTTAAATACAATCTGTTTATAATGAAATAAAAATGTTTTAAATAAGCATCTGTACTTAGCCTTGAATGAAGTAATCAGTAATACAAGAGAAGTGGATTGAATTTTTAATGTGCTATTTAATGTAATTTTATGTAATTATTTTAAACTGTCCATTGTGATAGAAGTAATGTAAAAAAATTTTTTTTACAGCATCCCTTCGACAGATGTCATCTAAGAGAGTCCCTGGATTAGCTGGGTCAAACATGATATATTATCTCTTTGTTGGTGTCACTTTTAGTGCTGGTGGCTATTATGTAAGTGTTTTTATAACTACAATATTATGGGACTTATATATGATGATGATCTATGTTATGCAAAGCAATGGGGTGATTAGGTTAAAGCTAGTTTCATAGTATCATAATTACCTTTCTGTGTTTTATAAAGTTCAGGGACCAATGTTTGGCACTCCTATGGACTATAAAATTGTGATGTTCATGGTCCCCAATATTAACTCTAACTGCATTGGAATGAATGTCATATATTGTAGTCTTACATGAATGTAAGTGAATGAAGGCAGCCCGTATATGAAATGAAGGAAATTTTCTATCAGGAAAGATCACTATGCACTTACTGCTTCAGTTACTTCATTGCATACAGATTCGTTTAAACAGCATGACAGCAGTAATTACTTGAGGCATTGTAAATGTGCATTATTCTAGATGGCAATCTATGAGTCAGGATTGTCAATGAATCAGAAAATGTTTGTATGCTTTGGTCTCAACATGATTTATTAAGTTAAATCGTCACTCCTATTTTCATCACTATATTTTTATTTATTATATTTATTTATTGTATAGAATATTTCAGTTTTCTTCCTTTTAAAAGCAGTTTGGAAAGATTGCTGGATTTGGGGTCAGAAGAGCTGGATTTGAATTCATAATCTGCTGCTGTCTACCCATATGATCTTGGGCAAGTCTGAGTCTTAATTTTCCCATCTGAAAAATGAGATGGGGGCAAGATGATGTCTAAGGTTCTTTCCAGCTCTAAATCTATTCACCTGATTCCTTCCAGCTTTATATCTTATGGCCTGCTCATTATTTTCTTGCAGGTAGAGAATTGGTGCAGAAGCTAAAAAGCTGGCCTTAGAGTCAGAAAGGTCTGTGTTCAAGATCTGCCTTTGACCTATCTTAACTATGTGACCAAGTACAAAATATTTCACCTCCCAGTACTTCAGGGATCTCTTTAAGACCATAAGCTACAAATTGTTGATCAGCATCAGTGGAAGAAGTTTTCACCCAGGAGTTCCTCCCCACCCCTGCCCCAGCAAAAAAAAAAAAAAAAAAAAGCAATGCAGTAAAAAAAAGAACATATTTCATAGTATCTAATCCTCTCTTTTCTTCTAAGCAAGAAACCCATCACAAAGCATATTCCATTTTTAATGATTAAATCTAGGGAATTATATCACTAGAACTCAGCATCATGATTCTAAGACCTCTGGAATTAAATACAGGTATACATTTGCTTTCAGGCTTACCGGACATTCACATCAGACCAGTCTCGGTACACAGAACGTATCAATAACATGCAAGTGAAAAGTACCATGAGGGAATCACCAGAGATGCTACAACATCCAGGTAAAAGCTTTCTTCCTTTTCATCTACCCTGACACACAAAACATCCAATGTTTTTAAAGCATGTGCGTTGAACTGTTTGCCATTGCTTTCCATTCCTGAGGAAATCCAGAATCTGAGACTGAAAGGTTGCTCATTCAACAAGAAAGATATAATTTGAAACCTAATGAAATGTGTTTGGGATGGTAAAATCTGATGAATAAAAATGCTTTCAGTTTGGTAGTAGGTCTGAATCCCAACTCTACCACTTACTACCTGCACCTTGGACACGTCATGTTATCTCTCTGGGCCTCAATTTCCTTATCTTATCTGTAAAATGGGGGAGTTGAACTGGATGACCTTTAAGGTCCTTCCAACTCTGGAGCTATGATACTATGAATCTATATTGCTGACCAACTGCTTTGACTCCTTTGTGTTTGGAAGTAAGTATTATCTATTATCTTTCAGGTTTTTGGCTTCATTCAGTCCATGGAATCCAGGGCATTCATATCTGTCTAGCTCAGCAGTTTGAGATAAAGGAACAGAGTTGTTGGGTTTTTTTTTCACAAAGCACAAAGTCATTTTCATTCCAATACTGTCTTTGTCTACTCGTGTTTCTGACCAGAATCCACTAGACTACAAAGTCATTTAGATGTTTGGGGTTGAATGGCACCTCTTTAACCTGATCAATTTGGGGAAATAGCCACCGTAAGAACAGATGTGATATTTTTTTCTTTTCAAATTTCAATTGTATCATAATAGATTTTGTATTCAGTTCCTCCTGGTTTGTACATGTTTTACACTTCCTTATTTGTTTATCTGTTGTCTCACCCCATCCCCACCCCCTCAGTAGAATAGGAGGGCAGGAACTTTTTTTTCTTTTTGTATCCCATTGCTGAGGACCTTTATTAAGTGCCTACTATCAGGAACTATGCTAAGCACTGACGATACAAAGACAAAAGTGAGATAGAATAGAATTGGTGCCTTATATTAATTCCTTTGCTTTCATTCAAATTTTATTCCAACTTGATAATGGTTCTCCTGAATTGTAAAGTGCTATCCAAATATACAGTATTATTAAGAAAGGGTAGAGGGGAGAATGAATCAGTTAATGAATGAAAAGCATTCATGGAGTATTGCAAAGCACTGTGCTAACAAATATGTGAATGACACTTCTCCCTTCACTTTACTTTTTACAGTAATGGAATGATCCAGTACCTGGATGCTTGTAAAGAATAATAATAATAATAGCAACTGATGTTTATACAAAGTATTCCAAAAGACTTAGCGCAGATTTTTTAAAATAGTATTTTATTTTTCTGATTATGTGTAAAGACAATTTTAGCAGTCCATTTTTTATAAGATTTTGAATTCTAAATTTTTCTTCCTCTCTCCTTTCCCCTCTTTCCTTCTTAAGATGGTAAGCAATTTGATATTGGTTATATATGTCAATCATATAAACCATATTCCCATATTAGTCATGTTGTGGGATAAGAAACAGAACAAACGAAAGAAAATCTTAGTGAAGCTTTAAAGATAAATCTTTAAGCTATTTTTTAGCTTAAATTTAGATAAATCTTCCAGCTAAATAAAGCTAAAGTTTAAAATTGCACCAAGTCTTTTGGGACACCATATAGCAATTTAAGATTTGTAAAGTGCTTTAAATATATTATCTCATTTGGTCCCCACTACAACTCTGTGTGGTAGGCACTACTTCATTTTACAGAGGAGGAAACAGAGCTTCAGGAATGTTAAATGACTTGTCCATGGGGTTACAAGAACATTAGTTTTTCCTAATTTCATATACAAGACTTTTCCCACAAAACCACACTAAAATGGAGTCCCATGAATGAGGTAGTCTTGATTCTGTTCCATTCCTTTCAATAAACACTTATGAAGGACCTATTATGTGGTTGTAATCTTGGTGTAAAGACAAAAAGTAGTTAAGATATTTATAGTTTATTTTAAGTTTATAGTCTACTGTAAGAGATGATAAACCATATAGACCGATAATACTGCCACAAAGTATGTACAAAGTCATACGAAATAATTTTTGAGAGAGAGCAATGATAATATCAGGAGGCATCAGCAAAATAATTAGTATAGGAGATGGCAGCTGAGATGTGTTTTGAAGGAAGCTAGGTAGTCTGAAAAGGAGTGGAGGGAACGCACGGGGAGGGAGCGGGGTTCAGGAACCACACGTGCAAAAAGTAGAGAAGAGGTATATAGAATGATGATTTTGGAGGTCCCTTTCAACTTGGAAATTTGGTGAATTTAAATGATCATATTTTCAGCAACAGATAGCAGTTGCTAACAGAATGGTTTTTTTATCTTCTATCTTTGTAGAACATAAGCAGTAGGTTTTCATCACTAAATATTACTTTGACAATATTTATAATGAAAGTAGGTGGTTTGGGCTTTTATTTTCCTGCTATTTTTTTTCTTTTGTATGTCTTTTAATGAAATTAATCTCAACAGATGAGGAAGTAAAGCCCACAGAAACCAATGAAGGCTGTTCAGAAGCCCCTAATGACGCTCCTCCTTTGGAGGCTGGTTTGGCAACAGCTGAAGAAATTCCAGATGTGGAAGATGAAGCCCCAGAGGAGACTTCTGCAGTCAGTGTCGAAGCTGGCTCAGAAGAGACTCCGGCAGTCAGCGTTGGAGCTGGTCCAGAGGAGACTCCGGTAGTCAGTGTCGAAGCTCATCTAGAGATCAGTGAAGTTGCTATGGTCGGTGTAGAATCAGGGCCAGAGGGCACAGATGCAGCTGTGCCAGAGGCAGCTGAGGCCAGCAACACAGCTCCTAAGCCCGAGGAAGCCTCAACTGTAGATACTGAACTGGAGGAAGACAAGAAATCTCCCCCAGAAGCTGAAACCTGTACAGAGGCTGAGTTACAGGAAGAAGCCCCTCCCCAGGCCTGAAGCTACCTTAGCCCACTGGGTAACCTAATCTCCGTTTGCTACTAAAAAAGCCTCTAGGCCAGGAAAGATGTCAGAATGTGGGTGAGAGTTATGTGTAAATTCCAGGAAGAATTACTCTTCATTCAAGGTTACTTTCTCAACACTTTGATGTGCTTTGAAGAATTATAGAGTCACTTGATGGGCTTGGGGAATGCATTTATTTGTAAATGTCCTAGGAAATTTCTCCTCTGAGAGTGAGGAAAGCACAATAGAGTTGGAGAGGTCTTGAGGAAATCGGCTCTATTGGTATTTTTCTTTTTAAAATTCCAAGTGATCACAATTAGCTGTCTACACAATCCCAAATTGCTTTTAATTTCAAACTGTTAAATCCCTTTCGGTCTTGTGGGCCTGGATAGAGTGGCTCTTGAATATGAAATCAAGTCAGTGAAATTAGTGGACATTTTTATTGTTTCCAAATTCATTCCACTAACACTTATAGAGATATTCAATTGGAACTTGCACATTTTATGCTCTTGGTGAGATAAGAGCTGCATCTATTTCCATTATATCTTCCTAACCCAAATCATTCTATCCTACTTCCTACCTCCAACTCACCTGTCTGACTTCTCTATGTTAAATGGGATAGCTTGATATGTTTCTTTTCCCTCAGTGCAAGTATACTACTACAGATTTGAGACTGGTGGCCATCACGACTTGGTCTAAAATTAAAAATAACTGTCCTATAAGGCAGTCGTGTAGTTGGCTGTGAGACAATTACATTCCTCACCCAATCTCATTTTGATTTTTACTTGTGTGTAAAAACTCTTGAACTACTGAGTGAAGGCTTTTACTGTCTCTAAAAATAAATTGCTAAAATATCTAAATAATGAAAGGAAGTAGAATCTGTTCTTCAATTCAATTCAAACAGCACTTATTAAGTGCCTAGAATGTACAAGCTAAAACAAAACAAAAAGAATGTGCCAAGCAATTCACAGTGTGAAGAGGAAAGATGGAGGAATTAATAGAACCAACGTAATGGAAAGTGTTGGATTTGGAGGATCACAATTTTAACCTCACTCTGGCACTTAATACCTGTGTGACCATAGGCAAGTCTTTTAACCTCTGAGCCTTAGTTTGCTCCTCTGTAAAATGAGAGGAGTTAGCCTTGCTGATCCCTAAGTTTGATTCCAGCTCATAACCTACAGTACTATTGTAACCTCTTCAGATATTTGAAAGATCTCCCTTGCTATTTAAAATAATAAACTCACTTTCCCCATTGCCTTCAGGAGTATGCCAGCACCATCATTTCTTCCCTCTTCCCTAAGAGAAAGAAGGGGAGATATCCCAGTCTCTCAGACATCCCTCTCATTGTATTTCCCCTTTGCCCTGGGGTCACATAAATAAGGGGGAAGAATAATTCCTCTAGAGTTGGTGACCTACATAGCTTGTGGTAATAGAAATTTCACAGAATCTCAGCATTGGAAGGGACCCAGAGGCCATCTCCTCTTTATGATATCCCCTAACAAATGGTAATACAGCTTTTGCTTACAAACAATGTCACAACTCTAGAGTTGGAAGGAACCTTAGAGATAGATCCTCTAGGCCTGGGATTCTTAACTTTAGAGCCCTTTGGCAATCTGGTGAAGCCTATGACCCCTACTCAGAATTTTTTAAATGAATAAAACAAAATATACAGGATTACAAATTAAAGCAATTATATTGAACTTATCTATCTATCTCATCTAATCTATCTATCTGTCTGTCTGTCTATCCAGCTAGGTGGTGAAGTGGAGAGGGTACAGGTTCTGGAGCCAAGAAGATTCATCTTCCTGAGTTCAAATCTGGCCTCAGACACTTACTACAGTGTGACCCTGGGCAAGTCACTTCACCCTGTTTGCCTCAGTTTCCTCATCTCTAAAATGAACTGGGGAAGGAAATGACAAACTACTTCAGTATCTTTGCTAAGAAAACCCCAAATGGGGTCATGAAGAGTCAGACAAAACTGAAAAATTTCCAAACAACAATATATACATTTATGTATGTATTTTATATATATACATTGTGTGTGTGTGTTTATGTACCCAAGGTTAAAAACCCTTACTCTACAGCTTGTTCCCCTTCCTAGTGGAAATGAAGGTGGGGGAAGGGGCAGGGAAGGGGAGGGATAAATAAAGCATTTGTATGCTCTAGGCAAGGTTTAGAAAGTATGCCCCATGGGTGTTACTGTCCTGTAGAGGCTTTTGAGCTTTCACTGTTATACATGTGACTTCACTTATCACAATATAAAATACCTATGTGCTGAAGAAAGTGGAATTTTCCAGCATTAAAAACATGGGTTTAAAAAAAAAGTGTCATACATTGTGCCCTCTTCAGTATTGTACCACAGGCAACAGTTAACCTTGCCTTCCTCTGGTTCCCATTAGATAATAGGTGGAGAAACTTGGGCAAATTAGAAGGAAATAAGTCAAAGCCACACATTTTTTCCAGTTTTTAACTCTTGAAATGAACAGTGATCGAACATGACTAATGTGGAAACATGTTTAATTTGATTGTATAGCCTACTTGTATAGCCTATTATCAGATTGCTTGCCATCCTGGGAGGGGGGAGGTGAGTGAGGGAGGGAGAAAAAAAATTGGACTTCAAAATCTTACAAGAAATAATGCTGAAAACTAAAAAAAAAATTTATAAAGAAAGAAAAAAGAAATTAACTGTGATCAAATGAAATTATATCAACAAAATATGGTTCAAACCTTAAGGCACTATATAAAAGTCATCTACTACTATCTGTAGTCTTATAATGGAATCTGGTTTCCTTTGTCCAGAAGACTTGGATGACTGAGTCCTATATAGATTAAGTGTCTTGCCCAAGGGCACACAGTGAGTTAGAGGCAGATCTGGACAAGAGCTCATGTCTCCAAGCTTCTCACACACACACACACACACACACACACACACACACACACACAATGTTTTCTGCTTCACATACAATGTGCTAAATGATTTCTAATTGTTTAGATTAGGAAAATACTGTAATCTTCTTTGTACAACATCTGTGAATTGAATAATTTCCAATAGAAAGAACATCAGCAACTCTCTGGAGTATATCCTCCTTCATACACCATTCTAAAGATATTTTTTAAAAAATGGTTTATCTGAGAATTATTCTGTAAACAATATTAAACATAATACAATGAATTAAAATGTTTTTCAACTGTTTTTCAATGATATACTTTTACATGACATTGATTTAAATTAACCTTTGGTATGACTCTGTGTCTTTGCTGTGTCTGTCTATTGTATTAGGAAAAATTTATGGACTAAAATAATATGTATTTTTCCTCTTCCCCAAATAGCACAGGGATGCAAATTGACACATTATAGCTATTCTTTCTTAAGTAGAGACAAAACTCATTAATTTGTACTATACTAACAGCACCTGTGAGAATTTGTGATAATTAGAATTTGCAATAATTAGAATCCAGCTGGGATGAATTTCACCTTTTACTAGTTAGGACCTCTTCTATAAAATGAGGGGGCTGGACTCAGGGGTGTACTAGAGCCAACTCAAAGAGTCAATTGTTAAATTTTCAGTATTTGTATCTCAGAAACTGGCAAATGCTACAAACCAGGGCTTAATTTATTGTTTTGTTGGTTTTCTAGACTTAAGAAAGTGATAGAGAAAACATCAAAAATGCAAATTAAAGTTAAAAGTGTGTCCTGCAAAAATCCCCTCCCTGCCAAGAGCTGGTTATTAAGCTTTTACCTTATAAATGCCTGGTAGATGATCTCTCAAGTACCTTTCAGCTTTAACACTCTAAGCCTATCATTCCTTGAAGAAATGTCTTTTTCCTAAGTTAATGACAATTAACCCACTTACAAGGAGAATAAACTGCTTTTTAGAATTTTAGTTATTAATTGTGTGAGCATGGATGCTGTTAATTACAGAAGAATCATATTCACTAATAAGCATGCTTGCAGATTTCCATTTGAAAACACCCTAATAGTCACTTCAGGTTATCCTGTGTGCTTGAAGGAAATAAAGTTCATTTCTTTAAAAATATGTAACTTAAGCTGGCACTTCTCCTGATTATCCATATTACTAAAGTTTTATGATATTTGTAATATTCTGAATTGTTAACTTTGGAGTAAAACACTTTGGTCACCTTCTGGACACCAAAGAGAGTTTCCATAATTCTTTTCAGAGTAAAAAATATGTGATATACAAATAGTTTTTTGATGTAGTAGCTGGCTGATGAACTAAGATCCATACATATCTATCACACATGGGTTACTTTTTTTTTAATAGCATTTTATTTTTTCCCCACATATATGTCAAGATAATTTTTAGCATTCATTTTTATAAAATTTTGAGTTCCAAACTTTTCGCTTTCCCTCCCCTCCTCTCTTCTAAAATAGTAGGCAATTTGATATAGGTTATATATGTGCAATTATGTAAAACTTATTTCCACATTAGTCACAGTTGTGAAAGAAGAAACAGATCAAAAGGAAAAAAATTAGCAAGTGAAAAAAAGATGGGTTCCCTTATTACACATTGTTGATTTTAAAACATAAAAATATAATAATATATATTTAGTACTAAATCTCTACTAGAGATTGTTTAGACTTACTTTGAAGATTCAGGACCTTGGAGTGACTCAGGGTCATTGTTAGGCACATTAATTATCACTGTCAGGGCAAACAACCATTGCTATTTATAGAGATCTAAGACTGGTAGGACTCCAAACAAAAAATCTTCAGAATTAAGAGAAACATGAAAAGACTTCTATTAGCTTATCCAGGATGAAGAAAATATAATCAGCGAGACAACTTGCACAATATCATAATAATGTAGAAGAAATCAACACTAAAAATGACAAGAATGCAGATGAAATTCAATAAATAATCTTGACTCCTGGGGCATCAATGATGAAACACTTTTCCCTTCTCTCAGTAGAGATGTGATAGACTACAGGTAACAAGTGTTTCACACACAGATGCAGTCACTATGATAGTTGGAGTGGGAATAGTAAAAGGAAGTGTCTGAGGTGTAAAAAATAAATAGCATCAATAATATTTTTAAAAAAAGAATCCTACTTTTACTGTGTATGAAATAGCATAGCTTGTTTTTAAAACTATTCATGGAATGATCTGTTTCATTAGGATAGTTTCTTTCCCTCAGAAAGGAAAGAAACAAAAATAAACATCTTGTACCCATAGTCCAAAGTATTGTGTTATTTTGATCAAAATTCTTTTTTATGCTCCAACTTATATAACATATAATTAGACTCAGGAAGTGGGAGGGACAGGTACTTGTTTTAGCCAACTGATTTTGATTTTTTTTTTTCATCTCTTAGGTTCCCGATAAGATGGGAAAGAAGAACTGAGTAGGGATAGAACGAGATAGAATACAAAGTACAGGACCTATGTATCATCCACCTGAAGGGACTCAGTCTGGTTGCAGAGTCTGGAACCCTATATAAGGCTGTTTGAAAACCAATTATGCTCTCAACTTCCTCGGGTGTTGTTGGGGATGGGGGCGGGAGATCAGTTTACAAACAGGTTAACAACCATTACAGCCAGCTCCTTTTCTGAGCTTTCCCAACTCATACATATACTGGTCCAAATTATACTGCTCTCTAGAAAAAAGTTCAATTACCTATACATTCATCTTATTTTTCCATCAGATACTGAGAATGCTATGGGCCATTTTATCCCAAAAGCATTTAATTTTGTCAAAACTTGGTTAACTTCAGATAAGAAGGGGAAACTTCACAACTGTCCTGTCCAAAGTCAAGGCTGTTCCCAAAAGAGTTTCCCTGACTTGTGATATTGGGCTGGTGAGAGGCCGTCATGTTGACCAGTAGGCCCTATGTTTGGCATTGACAAAGGTGAATAGGGTGATTAGTCTCCTCCATTATCCAAGCCACTATCCTCCACCATCCAACCTCAGTGAAAAATGCTGTGCTCCCGTAATTGTATAAATAAAGCAACATCACACACACACACACACACACACACACACACACACACACACACACAC